CGACAATGACTTATAATCAAAAGTCAAAATGTATTACTACTGCTGTAACACTAAGATAATGTTTGACCCAGTCAAATGTTATCCTCGACATTTACATAAAACAACAGTGATGCAGATAACACCTTACTTGATTATGACATTAATACGTGGTAACTTATATCTACACAATTACCTCCACTACTTGTTTGCGTGTCTGACGTTTCAAACGGGATTGGTAAAGACTCTACATTTGTAAACGTCTTGCCTCTGTATTCACGTTGATTTTCTTTTTTGTGTTTTGAAAATCGTTTCCTGAAAATACAGACATGAAACAGAATCGAAATGTAAAAGATCAATAAATATAAAAATAGCATATTGGAATATCATTCGCAAAGGTTTAAAATACAATTACCGTGAGTGCATACCTTCTAAGGATGATGACAGTTGCTATAACAACAAGAACAAGAACAATCACTACTCCAACACCAGCACCAGCGTACGTTCCTGTTTGGTCGTATGAGACTTTCATTACCTTCTCTGAAATAAACACAGGTGCGTTGATGCAATGACAACTCCTTTTCGATCAATGTATATGAAATAGATATTACATGTGTTGTTCTAGTTTCGTTATTTCCATATTGCCTTTTATGACAAAATCTACATTAACCAGGTGAAATATCACATCAAAGTTATTAGTTTTGAAAATAAAACAAAATAAAACAAAATACGTGTAGTGCACTTCTCTCCTTCCCAGCCATGTTTACACCCGCATGTTCCGTGTGTCTTGTCGCTACAGAAGCATAACCCATAAGACCTACTGCATGACTCAGCACTGCACTGCCCACATTTCTCTTCACAGTTAAGTCCAAAATATCCACCCGTACAAGCTAATAATACAAATTGAAGTGGTGTAATTGCAAAAAAATAAGTGAGTTTGGTAATCACATGTTATCATAAAAAAACATCTTTATTAGAATGGATTAAAATAAGATTTGTGAAGCTTTTAGAAATACTCTATTGGAGTAAAAATAAAATATTAAAAGATAAAGATGTTTCAGGTGAAACATTTATAATTAACGATAAAGAAATGAAGCAAAATGTACATGATTCATTGGCTTTTTACAATAATAGTACGTAATGTGAATCTTACACTTTAAACTATCTTTTCTATGCATGATTAATAGCTCAGTCATAGATACTTTGACAGAATGTTCTGTACGTTAATGATAGGGCAAATGTACCTATGCACGTTCCGTTGTTCTGTTGGCATTCACAATGACCAGAACATGTCATATTACAATTTAGTCCAAAGAAACCAGGCTCACATGCTACAATACAAATATTTCATATTTTACACATACGACTCATTTTGTGCATTACACCTAATGCCAAATCAAATGGGGTAACGTTATTATGATTTAATTTAAATTAAGTTTACTAACCCTCACTTTTTAAGCCCGATTGACTGCATATCCGGTCATTAATCAAAACAATTACTATTAAAAGTTGTCCCGTACAATCCAATTTTGAATTCTAGAAATGCCAATGATTTATTAAGATTGTTTTGCCTTTAGATTAAACAGAAATGTCTTGAGTAGCAATATTGAACAAGCTTGAATTGTAATGGGGACCATAATAGAAGTCGTCCCCTACACAAACCGTGTTGTCACAAATCATACATTAGATGGAATGTCCAATGCCATAATGCACCAACATAATAATGTTTTGCCAAAAAAAAAAAAGAGAAGGATAATTCACATGTCCTTGGCCTCAATACATGTATATGTCAAACAATTATAGGCCACAGCAACCATGTTACATAACCGAACGGAACATGAGACTTTTAACACATACAACGAACTTAACGTACCCTTTTTTATTATCAAAAAAATGAAATGATCGGCAAATAGAAAAAGTGACTCTGTTTGCGAGCATTATTTTACCTGAACAATCCCCGCTACCTCTGGCACATAGCGAGTCTCGGCAGTTTGCCGGACAAATCTGCTGACAGTAAATGCCATAAAAATCGGGTGCACATTCTAAAACACAATTAAACAAATACATGCACTGACGTCTCCTTGCAGTAATGTTTACATAAGATTTGTATTATGGCAATTACATTTGCCTTGCTGTAGGCTGTGAAATAAAAATACGCCCTTTTGTTATTTGATTTATATAATCTGTGTGTTAATAATGTAAATTTAAAGTATCCTCTTGACGTATGATATCAAGTTTCTACTTCTGTCAATAACCTTACATCTCACCATACCTGTACATATCCCACTGGTCTGATTACATACATCGCCTTTACAATTGGACGGGCAGCTTGTGTTACAGGTAACACCAAAATATCCAGGTCTGCATGCTTAAATAACAACATAGGCAGTTATTTGAGACTAAATAAATACATCGTTCACTTTACATTAAAAACAAATTATATTTGTTATATATTCAAACAAGAATTACAAGAAAACGAAGGCTTAAATAAAAAATAAATACGATTTTACAAGTACATTTGCATCTCTTTTCAGATAATAATACAATTGTATCGTATCTATCTTCAACTACATTTAGAAATATAGTCAATCATATGAAATTTGAACAAATAATTTAAAAACATTATTTTGAGCATACCAAACGAAGATCTAAATACCTATGATTAGATTTTTAGAAATGTTTTACATAATTTGCTTGCCCTTGAGCGTTTTATTGTAAATACACATATATCAGAGAGTACAAAAACAAATTAGTTCTGCTTAAACTAATTGCAATGACAAAGTTCCAAACCTGTACATTTCCCCTCGTATTGTGTACATGTGTTGTGTTTACAACTAGAAGAACATAACTGATCACACTTCATCCCAAAAAAGCTGTGCAAGCAAGCTAAAAGTACACAAATATGTACATGTGTTGTGTTTACAACTAGAAGAACATAACTGATCACACTTCATCCCAAAAAAGCTAAAAGTACACAAATATGTGGAGCCGAAATTTCTGTTTTTTATTTCAATCGTTTCCATGTGCGAAATATTGATTACGAAATATAGTTAAGATTTTACCTAAGCTTGAGTGAATCAACGCGTTTTGGTGTGGGGAGGCAGGGGTAGGGAAAATCAGGTGTGTAAAGAGATGCAGAGCGGATACAGACAGCGTAATGGGAAGCAAAGCAGATTATGGCCACAGATACTTTCTTTCTATTTTTTCACATTCACATTAACTATAATCGTCCCATATGATACCATATACTTTTACACAAACAATGTACGTATTAAACGTGTCGCAATGTTTCAAGACCGACTAAACCCTTTGTTAAGCTATTACTGAGTGAGATAGTTGTATTGTTTACCTGTACAACGATGTAGGAGAAATTGTATATGTTTATGTCACTCGACGAAATCAATCTTTGATATCACATATATTCCAAACTGATTAATCTTATTGCAGTTATTTTCCTAAAGCTTGGTAATATTGTATGGAAGTAAAACACTAGTATTGAATGCAAACTTATATGAAAAATAGGAAATAATTATAACCAATCATCTGTTTAATTTGTATGTAAACATTACGTTTGTAAACCTTTAAATATCCATTAATTGCGCTCAAAGCAGCCATGGATCATGGAAAGGGCTCCACATTAGACGCATCTTACGACATGCATTTGGATAAATCATGTCACTTTTTCTCTCTACCTATGCAGGTTAGCCGTTTCCATAGTCTTTGTATATCCTAGTCATAGTTTTCTCAAACATCCATAGAGTTTTAGAGCATAATGCACATATACGTATGCAGTGTACATATAGAAGAAGCGTGTCTAAATCAGCTCTGATTGACTGTAGTTAATAAATGGGCTTTTTATAATGATTGTGTTTGTCCATGGATGCTTTAATTTAATCATTAACAATAATCTGGTATCAGCGACAGTGATATATATCTTATATGCTCTCTTAAACAGCTAAATGTTTTTCTTTATTGCAATATAAAGTAATGATATATACGCAAATAAACGACCATAATCACAATATGATTTCATTGACAATTGGATCACACATTCAAACTCAGGAAAATAGGTTATGAGATATAATGAAATATAAGCCATCAGTGAGTAGATCATGTGCTCTTTTTTGTAATACGTACGACTACAATTTCCGGATATTTTGTCACAAACACGATTGGGACAACCGACAGAGCAGTTATCACAGGACGATCCGAAGAATCCATCCTCACAGTCTGGCAAATGCAAAATCAAAACGAACTTTATATATTTTCCTATTGACATTTGACGCACATATTAATAGACAAAACAAACCTATCTCATATAGAACAACTTTGTATTGTATGCATGTCATGAATATAAGTTAAGAATCCTCTTGTTTTCCAAAGCTATGTTTTTTTTTGTTTTTTTTTTTTAATCAAACGCGTTATATGACACATTTACCGGTTATCAACCTTTTGGATTCCTGATGTTGAAAGATAGTATTGGTATCCAACTTTTAAGCAAGTATGAAACGCAAAGATCATACTAATTTTACCGAAAACCTACGTTAGTTTTAATTTTTTAGACGTTATAAAAAAATCCTAATGTTATCAACATGTATTTGCTTTATCTATGTAAACATGACACATACATATGTGAATTATATATAATTTCCTAACTAATCATTAGATAACACATTTCTCTACACGTTTTTTATACTTTCCAGTGATACATACCTTCACACTCTCCATTGCTTTGCATACATCGGTTGTCTTTACAGTTGAACAGACAAGTCTGATTACAATGGTTGCCATAATACCCGGGAGTACACGCTTTCATAGAAAATCACAAAGAACAAGTCAGAAACCGAAAAATTGTAAGGACTACATTTTCCTTATCTAAGTTTTAGGTCATTAATTGCCACTGATAATGTAATTGTACTTAATGATGCTTAATACATGATTATTTCAAAACACAATTGAGCAAGGCAAATTGTTTATTGTGAACCGAATCTCATTAATTTATTATAAAAAAGTAAAATTATAAACCTCACAGCGAATGCATTATATTTTATGACAAGAAATTAACTTAACACAAAATGTAAACAAAAATATCCATATAAAAGTTGATTTAAGCTGAAGTACATGGAATCACTTACCAGAACAAACACCGGATTCTGCATTACATATGCTATCATAACAATTAGGGGGGCATTCTACACATAAAGATCCAGGCCTATAGTATCCAACTGCACAGTCTAAAAATAATATGAAACATGTACATAATGCATATACTTATAAGACGCATTGTCTACAATGATTTTAGAATTATGTGGCGATATTTTACATAGAATGTAGAATTGTATATTGAAGACTGATTACCATATGTTGATTTACTTGAATAAGAAAATGTTATAATGTTATAATGAGCATGATATTATATTGTTTGCATGATAAACATGTATATATGTTATCACTGAACATAAAGCATATACGACGCCAAAGCAAAGACAATACACGGTATGTTGAATCAAGTTATGATGACGACATACACTCTTTGTTAATACCTAAAATGAGTTTTATCTCAACGGTCTCCATGCATAGAAAAATGAATGATAAACGTAGTTGTTTGTTCTCGTTCCATAGGCAAATGGCATGTTGTACTTTTTTTCCAGTATTAATATCTTTAGATGCATGTACTTACATGCACATCTTCCGGTCACTGGATCACACAGGCTATTGGCACAGCCTACACCACAATTTGAATCACAATTACCATCACCATATTTCCCAAGCGGACAACCTGAAATGTATCAGCATACAAGTTCGGAAATAAGCCCATCAGTTATCATTTAAATAACTAATAAAATATATAATTAACCATTTTTTATTGTTCTTTCATACCTTGGATGTACACATTTCTGTATATGTTACATCTTCCACAACGTTATAATGATGCACAAAAATGTATACGAACTTGTTGATGGCAACATAATTCACTGACTTGTAGACAAACAAAACATAACAAACGGCAAAGATGAGTATTGAAATGGAAGACACCTATCCTGTAACTAAACCAAAAAGTAAAAACAAAAATAACAGATGCTTTAAGTATATTGCAAATATGTTGTTATGGTTAATCATTTATCTTCAAAAGAGATTCATTAATATTGGTTTTTTGTCTAAAATACTACTTCTAAAAGTTCCATTATCCCTCAATATTTTCTACTGGGGTAAATACAATTCTTTAAGGTTAAATTGTAAGTTACGTACCGTAGACTTCTACCTCACAAAGCTCCAGAATAGCGTTTTCAGAGTACCACCATAGACCTCCTGACCGTCTGTCGCTGTATATTGTCAAGTACTGGGCGCTACCTGTACAATTGATCTCAGGAGTCAATGACAACGCGGCCGACGTTGATGTTGTGTCTATATGACAAAGGTGACCGTTCCGCCAATCCGACGTGTTCGACTGGTATACTTGATAACCACCAAATCGTTGTCGTTGCTGATACACTTGATCTAAATTTGATAAACAATGTAATACACTAGAGCTTATGCGTATATACTGTTTTTACGCAATACTATTTTCGCGTTTTCGCCAGGAAAACACCCACTGCATGTTCTATAACAGGCGACTGATGCAGAAGTATCAAGAGGAATTAGGGATTTTCATTTGTCACTCACTGTCTGACGCCCTACTTTGCAACACTTACCGTTTTGCCCTTATTATTAACTAGATATATTTATCAAGATGAACACAAATTATCTTTCAATCGATAATGATTCTGTTATGTTCCATTAGATTGATATATCACAGTAAAGCATGTAAAAAAGAAGAAATCATTGATTATATGCTGGTTGTTCTTATCAGTAATTTCCCTTAATAAAAGTGTGCCTATCAAGGCTTGGCTTTGTCACAACTCATATCCATATGAACACGGACAGAAGTACATGTATATGTAACGGCCGATGTCGTGTGCTTACGTATAAACAGAAAACCGAGTTACAACACCTGATGTTTACAATACCAGTATTATATATAACAGCCCGTCGTTAAAAACCAAGAATACAACCAGGGTCTATATAAAACGTATTATGAAAACCTCTGGTGAAGAGACGATTCATTAGTCAGAATGTCGACTTGATGGAAAGCATTACAAACAACATAGACAACCTGCCATGCTTATTGTATACGATTTACGTCATTGAATGTACACTGCATTTTGCTTTCTGTGTTGTTATGACGTATCATGTCAAGCTATTCTCGTTGTTTTTTTTACCATTCTCGGGGTAGGCATAACGGGCCGTTTAACAATTTATAGCTAAATAAAAATATCCTTCAATACTTATTATGTAAATATCGTTTCTGAATGTCAATAATATCAACTCAGGGCTCAACGACTTTGCAATAACCAGTGCAATATGAAGACGGGTGGGATGGGGATGGAGGTCGAGTTACATTAGTCGTCTTTCACGACATGCAGTGAGACAACACAGTAACGTCTAAAGGCCACGAATGACACGTAAAACCTTTAAAAGCACGAGTTTTGTTTTATTGTTGAATAAAAAAATCAAAATAGTTGTTAACTCACCTCTGTAGTATATTTTGACGTATTCCATAACGATCAGTCCATCTAGATCTACTTGCCACCATGCCTCCTTTATAAATGGATATGTATGTGAACAACAATTGTCGCTGTCGAAGGTTTGTTTTTTACAACCATCTACTGCTTTACCACTAATGTATGCAGCACTGTGGTTTGAACTTTGAGTGGTGATTTTGACAGTTGCCTCACGACAGGTGTTAACTGTAAAAGAATGAATTATCATTGTTTATCTCTATATATGAATCTTCCTGCTCTAAAGTACTAATCATTGTCACTATTCTCAGCATTGCAATGTCATCCATGTATGCATGTGTTGATGGTAAACTCAAGTATTAAATAACAGGAATGATGAGCAGAAATTAACGGAGAACCATTTTTGATGAAGTTAAAAAAAAATCAAATATACCAACAAAATCGTTAGAAAAAAAGGAACAAGGACTTTTTTTACTTATGTTTGACTCCTAATTAAAACTGCTTAATCGCCCTTAAGAAGTCACAGACAATACCCGCACGAAAAAAAAATATTGCACAATAACAAAATAAATGAATAAAGATAAGAGATAACAAAAGGTCCAATGGGCGTGCATCGCTCACCTGGTAGTAATTTCACATCTGTAACCTAAAAATTGATCCAAAGTAAAGCATCAAGCAAAAAAAAAGAAAAGATGTAAGGCTATAAGTTATTAAAAAGAACATGTTAAAAGATGTTTAGAATATTTGACCCCTGTGACATTGAAAGTCGAACAGGGTCATCAAACGAACCAAATTTATAACCCTTTATCTCAGCATGCAACTTGCCAAATATCACCACTCTAACCTTTTGTTTATTGAGATAGGGTCATTTAATGGTTTATACAAATTTGACCAAATTTGACCTTATCTCATTAGGTACAAAGTCATTCAAATGACTTGATAGCTCTTCATTCAAGCTTGCTGCAGGCCAAATATTATCACTCTATGCTTCCTGCTTATTTAGGAGAAGCCGTTTAAAGATTTTGAAACAAATTTGACACCTGTGACCATGAATATCAGTCAAGGTCATTCGTTTTAACAAACCCGGTAGTCCATTATCCTAGCATGACACTGGCCAAATATTATCATCCTTGGCCTTTTGGTTATTCAGAAGAAGTCGTTAAGAGATTTTGAACACGTTTGATTTATGTGACTTTGATTAAAGGTCAATGTCGTTAATTTGAAAAAAAAAAAATGGTTGCACTTCATCCGAACATTTTACGGGCTAAATATCATCATTCTGGACCTTTTCGTTTTTCAGACGAGGTCGTTTAAAGACTTAATACCTATTTGACCCCCGTAACCTTGACGACAGATCAATGTCATTCATTTTTATCAAAATTAGTAGCCCATTATCGTAGTATACTACGTGCATATTTAGAAGAAGTCGTTTTAAGATTTTAAAGATATTTGACCCCTGTGATGTTGAATTCAGGTCAAGTTCTTTTGAATGAACTAACTGTGTAGTTCTTCATCCAAGCAAACTCATGGCCAAATTTCCTCATGCTTGGTGTCATGGATATTCAGAAGAAGTCGTTTTATGATTTTAAACATATTTGACCCCTGTGACCTATAATTCAGGTTCAGATAATTCATTTGAATGAACTTGGTAGCCCTTTATACAGGAATGCTACTGACCAAATATCACTATCCCGAACCTTCTGGTTATTAAGAAGAAGTTGTTAACAGATTTTGACATATTTGACCTTTAAAATAGGCGAAGGTCATTTATTTGAAAAACAAACTTGGTAGTTCTACATGCCAGCATGTTACTGGCCAACTATCGACCCTTTATGCTTCTTAATTATTCACAAGAAAAACATGTTTAAAATAAAAGGTTTACGCAGGACAGACGGACGAACCACGAGCACCGCACCACGGCATACGATAACTTGGCCCTTTGGGCGGGGTAAACATGAGATGATGATATGTTCATATTCAGATTTTCCCAGAAATGTACATTTAAACAGGAGACGTAAGTACAGGGTGGTATGTGTATTTTTTCGCAGGGGCGCCGTATCTGCACGAACAATTACATTATGATTTGTCCTCACTGCTTTTGTTTATTTTTATTTTTTTATATTAATTCACCTAACCTCGGGTATACTCTTTTGTACAAACCTTCGGTCACAAGCTTACCGATATGATATGCATAGATTGGCCCCCGTCTCTAGAAAATTTAATTAGCTAGAAACAAAATATAATAATGTTGATCACTTGGATGTCTGATTCTAGAGACTAGACAAACGTGGATAAGGTTTATAATTTGACTATCTGATTACCGCAGGCTGGTCGGTACCTTATCTGTCATTGCTCTCACCCCTTGTCTGACTAAACACTGGTTGAACTAGTAAACAAAGAACCTTAGAATTATTGTGTCATGTTTGTTATGGCATAATGCATAATGTAAACAATGTACATATAATTATGTTATGTATATCATGTTTGGATTTTTAACCACTTTGTACATTTGTATGCTAACTAATGGGTATAAAAACAGTCCCAATGAGACTGCATCGCTTACCTTATGTTAATTTCACACCTGTAACCTTAAGGTTCAACAAGTTTCTAAGAAAGTGGAATTGATACCTTAAATTTCAACCCCCTGGTATGTCATACTCACAGACACCTCATTCAAAATCGGAATATATATATATATATATATGTATNTCGTTTATATACCTAAGTCATGCGGGAGTAATTTCCCTTTTACAAAGTGAGGAGAGACATACCAGCCTCAAAAGTATATGATTATAGCTAGGGCAATGTCCAAAAATCATTGTGAAACGTCCGAGTAACACGTTTTTACAGGTAAATAAACAGACCTGTAACCATAAAAAAACCACTTTAACATCATATGAAGTGTCCTTCAGTTGAAAATATGTATTAGTCCTTAATCCCAGCATGTTATTGACCAAATATCATCATCCTGGATCTTTTGGTTACTCAGAAGAAGTCGTCTAAAGTAAAACAACGGACGACGGGCACGAACCCACGGCATAAGCTCACTTGCTCTTCGGTTAGCTTAAACTGATTCCAAACAGTCAATCATGGTTTTATTTACCCGAAACATTCTTGTAAATAAAAAAGCTTTTTTTTATATCTGGTTAAGGCTTTAAGCTTGATAATTCATCAAC